TTCCTCATGAAAAATGTAGTATTCTAAATATAAAAATATGAATTATATTATTTATGTTTTTTACTAAATTAAGTTTAATGTGAGATCTGTTTAGAATCACCAATTACCATTGAATAAGTAATTACAACTCTGTCTAAAATCATAAATTATTAAAATATATATATTTCTTGATATACGAATTACTATATCTTTATTTTTTCTTATGTTATTATACATATATATATATGTGTGTGTAATATTATTTATAATATTATTATTTATTAACAGTTTTTTGTAAAAATATCATATAAATGTCTTTAGCACCTCTAGGCCATTGTTTTTTCTTAACTTGCGCATCATCAGTCTCAATCCAAACAGTAGATGTTCCTTCTCTACACATACTTGTATAATGAGCCTTCTCAATAGATAGCCCTTTATAAAATACAGCATTCATTACTCTATATGTATGTCCAGCTGCCAATATTTTGCTTGTTGGAACAGCACATAAATTACCATTGTGTGGTACTTTCACTGACTTATTTTCTAATAAAAATAATACTAATTGGATAACAAGTATCTCTCTTGTCAATGTTAATTCATTCTTTACTAATATATTGCCTCCACAGTATTCACATTTATTACATGACTTACACCAACGTGAAAATTTTAAACTTAATAAATCATTAAGATTGTAACTTTTCTTCGTGAAATTATCAATAGAAATTGAAACTAGAACATTATTATTAGTAGCAATTTTTGTATCGCCACATAACTTACATCGACTGGTAGTAATTATTTGATGCTCTATAAGATTTCCTATATCATGTTTTGCGCACAGAGCTACAAAAAATTCAGATGCATTTCGTTCAATATTAATAGAAAAATACTCTCCTAAATATTGTCGTACTGCATATGTATTCAAATTGGGCATTCCATTTTCATACCGTTGCGCTAACGTATTTAAAATATTTATTTTATCACAAGAAAACAAGTGTTTCCTGATAATATCTAAATTTAACAAACATTGTAATACTGCATTTGCATATGATGAAACTTTATCTTCATTTTGAAAACCGCGTATAACCCAAGCAGATTTTTGTCGAACCTTTTTATCTGCTTCCTGAACAGAAATAATTTCCTTAGATAATATCCACGGAACATCTTTTACCTTACGATAACGACTTTTTGAAATAGTAATCATTTCTGCTTCTGGATTACGTATCCGTTTTAAACGGTTATATTCGATAATAGCTTCTTCACTGCTTATTACAGATGAAGGATTAAAATTAATCAAATATAGTCCATCCAAAGACGTTATCCGAGATAATGCAACATAAACCTGACCGTAATTAAATACAGAATTACCTATATCCATAATACAGTTATGCAAACTTAATCCTTGACTTTTATGAATGGTAATGCCGTAACTCAAGGATAACGGAAATTGTTTTCTCTTAACATATGCTCTATCCATAACTTGAAACTTAACACTTACTCTTTCAATAGAATATTCCTTATTAGACGGTAAAAGAAGTTTTATCTTTTCTATGTAATCAGTAACTGTGTCCTGCACAACTGAAATAACTGTAGCAATTGTTCCATTTACAAGGCCCAAACTTGTATTAATATTACGTCTTATCATAACTTTTGCTCCAATTTTAATTGTAATTTTATTTGAAAGACCTGCTGTTCTAGTATCATCATCATTATTTGTCAATATCTTTGCTACTTTTTTTTTTATATATGGAACGCAATCAATCGTATCTTCTGCATTCAGTAATATTTCTTTTGATGCAATACGACTTAACATTGCATTATTAAGAACATCACACATATGACAAGTAGGCAGTAAACAAACGGTATCAGATGGCAAATTACTGATAAAATCACACAATTCGTTTAATCTAGTTTCAAAAGACTCACCTTTAAAAGATATTTTTCTTTTTTCGAGAATTTTACAATCCGATTTTGTTAATAAACCAACACGAATTCTCGAAAGTAACTCGCGATAAAATTCATCTCCTTTCTGACGCATGTTAATCGTCAATTCGTCATAGTCAAATAAAGTAGTCCATAGATTAGTAGCAATTAAAGAACCAAGATATTTACAAACTTTTTCATCTGATAAATGTACGAAAGCAGGATCTTCATGTACACGAGGCAATTGAAGCAGATCTCCAAATAAAAGTATATGCTTTTTACCGAACCAACCATCATCACAAGTAGTGGTATCAAATAATTCAGATAATCGAAAGTGTATATACATTAAAGTCAAATTAGATATCATTCATCAAATTAGATACCTCATCAATTATACTAAGAACAACATCTTTAAGATCTGCACGTAAAACTTTCAAAACTTGATCAGATAATGGTTTATATTTAGGAGTATGACCATGTTCAACGGGTAACTGCAGTAATCCGTGAACTGTCAAACCATCTATACTAAGTGCTGCTATACCAGTTGGTGCTGTTACAGCAGTATTCTTACTGAGATTTTGTTTTATCCAGTATTTAATTGTTTTAATCAAAAAACTTTTACCAGTACCTCCTTCTCCACTAACATACAATCGTAGCAATGATTTATCTAACGTTACAGTATTAGTAACTCTGTCGAACACTCTTCTTTGATCTGCATTCAGTTTTGAAATCATTTCGGATATATCGATTTCCTGATGAAATTGGTAATCAAGATCTTTAAAATCTTGCATAGCTTCACC